ATGAGACGTGACGGGCCGCTAAATTTAGACAAATCTCGAGGAAAATGAAGTTTTGAGGTCGAGCTTCGAGAGAAAGCTTAACTAGTGTGGCTCGGGCATTTCATCGAACATCTCATGTGCATAGGAGGTGAGCTAGAGCACCAGAAAGCCCTCCCTCGCCGGCCAGAGAAAAACAGAGCACTAGAGTGCTCTGCTCGCGGGCGAGGGGTATATATAGGCACCTCATTGGTCCCGGTTCGTCCCACCAACCGGGACTAAAGGGAAACATGTTGTCCCGGTTCAAGCCACCAACTGGGACCAATGATGGTGGGCCAGGAGCGAGGCCCATTGGTCCCCGTTCGTCCCACCAACCGGGACCAAAGGGGCCAGACGAACCGGGACCAATGCCCCCACGAGGCCCGGCAGGCCCCTGGCCTCACGAACCAGGACCAATGCCCCCATGGGTCCCGGTTCTGGACTGAACCGGGACTAATGGGCCGACCCGGCCTGAACTAAAGCCCTCTTTTCTACTAGTGCAACTCCTTCTTTAGGAGTAGAGCTAAAACAGAAAAAAGAAACCAAAAAAGAAAACATAGAATAAAAAAGGAAACTAAAAACACGCGCACACGTCAAATGAGCCGAACAACTTTGATTATAGTTGATGTTTTTGGTAAGATTTGACTTGATTTGGGTAGAAGTAATGAAAGGCATGAAAAGTTTGGATTTAGTTGAGATTTTCTTAAGATTTGATTTAGTGAGATTTGACTTGATTTCCAACGCAGACAGCAAATTCCTTTGATATATGTCTGTTTTTGTGTACGGACGTGGTCCGCCGACATGATACGGAAGAGCGCGATCCAACGCTAATTGCAAATTATCCGGCTGGGAGAAGAAAAGGTACGTCGACCATGCATGTGGTGGAATATTTGTGTGCTGGAAGGAGAGAGAGAAGAGGGAACCATGCATATGCTAATGGAAGGAGAGAGAAGAGAGGAACCATGCATGTGATTGGTCAATTACATGTTCGACTCTGATAAAACTCCCACACGTTTGTTTCCAAAATACCGGAATTTGGATGTCCCGACAACGCAGACTTATACAGGTCGCATTGAATTGCAAAAAGAACCAATGTGTTTCGCGCGCTCAGTGCACCAGTAACGCCACACTGCCCACAGGTTCATATCTGCGTTTGCGGCGGCAGTGGTATACGTAGAGATACAATAACGAGGACTCTGGAAACTGCAGCGTCTTTCATGGCAGACCGGTAACGCGTTCGTTCCTACTGAGTACACCGCACGTCTGCGCGGTCACATTTACAGCCAAATCCCAAGAGTCGTTCGTATACATACAGATACAGGGGAGGGAAGCGAGCCCTGCCGGAAACGAAACACCATTCGTCGCTCCCTCGCCTCCCATCAGCGCGCACTAGTCCTTCCCTGCCTCCTCCTCTTCTCGGGCGCGCGCCGCCTCTGCCCTGCCTCGGCAACGACAGCAAACACCGGCTAGCCAGCCAAGAAAGAGGCGCCGACATGGCCATCCCGCTCCAGGCGAAGAAGCAGCAGGAGAACGGAAGCAAGGGCGGCCAAGGCAGCCACGTGGACGGCGGCGACGACAACCCTTCGGCGGCGGAGGAGCTGCGGGAGCTGTGGCGCATGGCGGCGCCGATCACAGCGCTCAACTGCGTGGTGTACCTGCGCGCCATGGTGTCCGTGCTCTGCCTGGGCCGCCTCGGCCCGCTTGACCTCGCCGGCGGCGCGCTCGCGATCGGGCTCACCAACATCACTGGCCACAGTGTGCTCTTCGGCCTCGCGTCCGGGTTGGAGCCGCTCTGCGCGCAGGCCTACGGCTCCCGCAACTACGACCTGCTCACGCTCTCCCTCCACCGCGCCGTGCTGCTGCTCGCCATCGCCGCCGTCCCCATCGCGCTGCTCTGGCTCAACGTCGGCCCCATCCTGGTCGCGCTCGGCCAGGACCCAGCCATCTCCGCCTCCGCCGCCGCATACGCCGCGTGGGCGCTCCCGGACCTCGCCGCGCTGGCCGTGCTCCAGCCGCTCCGCGTCTACCTTAGGTCCCAGGGCATCACCAAGCCCATGGCCGCCTGCTCCGCCGCCGCCGTCGCGCTGCACATCCCGCTCAACTTTCTCCTCGTCTTCCGCATGGGCTTCGGCGTGCGCGGCGTCGCGGCAGCGCAGGCGCTCACAAACACAAACATGGTGCTCTTCCTGCTCGCCTACGTCCGCTGGGCGGGTGCGTGCGACGACACGTGGAGGGGCTTCGCGCGGCCCGCCGCCGTAGCCAGCGGGCTCGGCGGCCTCGTCCGCCTCGCCGTGCCCAGCTGCATCGGCGTCTGCCTCGAGTGGTGGTGGTACGAGGTCGTCACCGTGCTCGCCGGCTACCTTGCCAACCCCACCGCCGCCGTCGGCGCCGCGGGAGTCCTCATCCAGACAACCAGCCTGATGTACACCGTGCCCATGGCGCTCGCCGCCTGCGTCTCCACCCGGGTAAGAATAAGATTAGGAAAGGACACTAGCCCGCCATTGGTGTCAACTTTCCAAAAGGAAAAAAAATCTTTGATTCGTGAAATGAACACTTGCCCGCCATTGTCATCAACTTTCCACAAAGAATTATTATTATTTTGATTCGTGTCGATCACCCAACTGCAAAATTCCTTTTGGGGTTTCAATCACATCGCATCGCATCGATCGACCGATCCGTTAGTGATGTGGGCGAGAGGTTGTTATATTGCTGGTGATGATGAGTTTGTTGTGAGCATGCATCATCATCCGACGTATCATACGTAGGTTGTGCCGGCACATCCCTCTTGCTCACACATTTTCTGGTGCTCTCTTTCCTTTTTTTTTTTGCACCTTCTGTTTTGCATGATACGCGACCGATATTCACTTCCGTTTTTGGTCCCATGCATGATTTACGAGACCAAGCTTAATTTTTTCCTCCATTTTTTACGCCATATTTTGGGGTCACTTTGTACCATCTGTTTTCGGAAATGAAGATTTCTTTGCCCTGCATGCATGCTCTTTTAAAAGAAAATCCGATTTTCTTGAGCTAAACTCTGTCAAAACATCCTGTATATTGGGTTCTTTAACACTTCGAAGATGTGAGCTTGTTTTTGGGAGACACCCAAGTCTGTCTAGCTGCTTTGAGCTACTCTTGTCAAAACATAGTTTCATTCAATATCAGTCAGAACAAAAGTTGGATGCACCGCACACACTTGCTTAGCTAGGCTAGCTCCACACATTTGCCCTAGACCTACTTCCAAAACGGCAAAATAAATGTTGCCATGCTTCCGTTGAACCACAAAATATCTTGCAACTATATAGCTGCTAGACGTATAGTACGTAGTTGAGCTTGGGCGTGCTACCTACATATTTTCCTCTCTTTTCAGTTGAAAAAAATGTTTAATTTGTCTACATACTGCATACTCTAGTATTTAGAGCATAACATTGAAAAAATTACCTAAAAAACGCACCTAATCGGGTAGACGGAATATTTGGACAGAATTAACTGCCATATATTCCCCTAAGAAAAAGGAAAAACTGACATATATTCTGAGTCCCAAAAAACACACTCCCACGTTCCTTTCTTAGGCCTCCTTTGGTTCACAGGATTTTTAGAGGAATTTTGAAGGATAGGATTTTTGTAGGAAAAAATCCTTTAGATGCCTTTGGTTTAAAGGAATGGCATCCTATTCCTGTACAGGATTTCTTCCTTCCCTGCACGTTTCACAGGAAAACAAAAAAGAGGTCCGACCTCTTGGAAAACTTCCTGGCACGAACAACGTGCGGGTCGGCCGCTGCTCCCTCGCATTTTTTTTGAAGATCGATCGGCGGCGAGGACGGCAGCTGACGGCCGAGCGATGCGGCCACATCCGGACGGCGAGCAGCAACCATCGGCAAGCTGGAGAGCATCTACCGCCGACCAGCCGGCCTAGAAAATTAGACGCTCTAATTAGAATCAACATCACGTTGCCCAATCTGCAGTGAATTGTAAAGAACAACGGCGGAGCCAGCCCGTGAGTGGAACCTGGACAAGACTAACTTTAACTCACTGTGAGCTGCCATTTGCCCGTGGAAATATTGCTTCTGACCCATACATAATTCCATTGTTTAGGCGTGATTTTGGGTCGCTGGGAGGTGGCTCCTCCACTGCAGTAACATTATGGATTCGTCTTTCCTGCAGTAACATTATGTTTTTTGCTCTAAGAGTCAAAGATGAATTTGCTACTCGCTGCATATGTATAACCTGTACTCGTTCAATTATTATTTTTTTCTCTTCCTGCTTCCATGGTAGGAAGTCAAATAGCATGAATTCATCTTTCATCCGTGACCTTCAAGGCAACGGCTACTTGCTTCAAATTAAAATATTATTTCTTTATGTTTCCTATGTGTGTTCCCATCCTTTGAACCAAATGGCATTCAATTTTCTTTTCCTATGGTTGAGCACTTCATAGGATTTAGGATGCATGCACCTCATTTCCTATGTAATTCCTATCCCTATATGTAATTCCTATCCTATGAACCAAAGATAGCCTTAGGTAGATTCCCAGGTAGCTAGACTAGACAGCTGCTGTTTTTACCCCAGGTAAAATAGTGCGGGTGAAAAGTTTAGTTTTACTAGTTACAGCGACGAGACACAGAAACGACAAGGTTCGTAGTGGTAGTAAAAGCTTTGCTTGCTTTCTTCTTCTTCCACTGGTCCATGGCATGGCCTCGTCTGGTCTCTTCGTGGCAGCACGCACACAATTGCACCACTGTGCACACATAGCAGCTGAGTTGACCAATCAATGGCCGCTGCAGTAGCTAGCCGCCGGGCCACATGCGGCAGCAGTGCTCCCACTGCTCAGTTGCCGGAAAAGACAAGACCAGCTCCTCACTCCACTGTGGGCACTATTTGTTTCTGCAGTGCACACCATTTCTGTGTTTGTGTTAATCGATCGAGCTTGTTGAGCTTGAGCAGGGCATGCATGGTGGTTTTTCTGACTTGCATGGTGGGTGGGTGGATGCATGCAGGTGGGCAACGAGCTCGGCGCCGGGAAGCCGCGGCGTGCGCGGATGGCGGCGACGGTGGCGCTGTGGTGCGCAGCGGGCGTGGGCCTCGCGCACGTGGCGTGGACGGCGGCCTTCAGCGCGCAGTGGGTGTCGCTCTTCACCCGGGAGCCGTCGGTGGTGCTGCTGGCGTCGGCGGCGATGCCGCTGCTGGGGCTGTGCGAGCTGGGCAACTGCCCGCAGACCACGGGGTGCGGCGTGCTGCGCGGCACGGCCAGGCCCGCCGTGGGCGCCCGCATCAACCTGCTCTCCTTCTACCTCGTCGGCACGCCAGTGGCGGTGCTGCTGGCGTTCGGGCACGGGCCGTTGTCCGGGTTCCGCGGGCTGTGGTACGGGCTGCTGTCCGCGCAGGCCGCCTGCGTGGCTCTGGTGCTGGTCGCCGTCGTGTGGCGCACCGACTGGCGCGTCGAGGCCATGCGCGCGCGGAAGCTGACCGGCACCGGCGCGGACACGACGGCGACGGCCACCGAGGGGGAGGAGCAGGAGGAGATGAGGCGCCTCGTGGCCGGCAACGGCCTGGAGGCGGACGTCGACGTGTAGCGAGCCGTTCCTTTCGGTGGAACCACCTAGTTTAGCTCTACGTGCGGTGCATCGCGGTGACATGCTAAAATTAAGCCAGACTAGCCATTCCACTCGTAGGGCAGGCATAGCATATTGCAGCACCGAGTAGCTGGCTAGCTTTAGTTATTGTGGTGAGCCACACAGCTCACAGATTTGCTGCTGCATGCATGCTTGCAGCTGGGCCTAAGCGGTGGTGTGTTCGCATTGAAGTAGTACGGTTGCTGCTTGGAGAAATGGGCTAGCTAGCTAGCAAGCTAATCAAGCTAGAGATCTTGATCGAGCTAAGCAAGTTCATTCCAAGTTACACGCACTTCATTTTCTGTATGGGCTAAACAAGTTCATTAGCGCTTGATTTTGGGATTAATGGGGATGCATGCATGCCTTGAAAAAGAAGCATGGAACCTTTGGGACCCTTTGCATTTGCCATTGCTTTGTGCCGCATACAAGAAAGTTGGGTAATATTGTACTTGGTTAGGATGCTAACCTGCACTGAATGTGAAGGATCGAGGAGCTTGCTGTGTGATGATCATATCGGTGTCTCGATCTGATCCTGTTTTATTCCTTTCTCGTGTAAGTGTATCAACTAGCATGGCTTTATGGGAAAGTGGTAGCGGCTTTGCTCGTCATATTCGCCTCCCCTTTGCCGAGGACAACGTATCGCTACGTCTCGCTTTCGCCTTTCTCTCCACCTAGAGCGGGGCCGGCTGAAGCCTTAGCTTGAGCCCGTCTGTCTCACCGTCTTTAGAGCATGGTTAAGGGCCTCTTTGATTCGCACGATTTTGAAAGTGTAGAAATAGGACAAGTAAGGATTGGAGTGTCATGCCCACTTGAATCCTATAGAATTAGTAAGGAGTGTTTGATTTCACATGAAAAGTAAATGAATTGTAAAAAGAGGTTGGAGTGGATGTTAGATTTCCTATAAAATGTAGTACAAAAGATTTCAAAGAAAAGATTCCTATGGGATTTAATCCTATGAATCAAAGGACAAACATAGAGAAAATTCCAAAGAATTTCAATCCTTCGAAAATCCTATTGAATTCCTTTGAATCAAAGGAGCCCTAAGGATGCGTTGGTTACCTGAACTTATATATCTTTCATATTTGCATCTGTGGCTCATAGGAGTCTGGCTGAAATAATGTAGGCTGAAAACCATAGTTCGATTGTTTGGTGCTTGCATTTGTCATTTTTTATCAAAGAGGGGTTTCCCCTTCGAATTCCATTTGGGAAACCAAAAGCGAGCTACAAGCACGAGTCTCAAAAGAGGACCAACAACAGCTACCAGACTACTACTAGATGCAACATGAACCGAAACAGGCATAACTACTGCCCAGCTTGGCGCACCCCAACGTAGGGAAATGTCACCACCACGTCAAGCCAAGATAAACGGGAAAGGTCCTGTCGATTACAAGTTTAGCAGAGAACATCAAAAGCAGCTAAAATCCATAGCAGAGGCAAGCCTGAACTAATCAGCGGCTGCATTCGAAGTGAAGATGCATCCCTGCCCAGCCTGACTCCTCAAGCTTCATGTAACCTAGGCATGTTATATCTCCACCCCTGCGCTGACTTGTAAACTTCACTTGTTACTCGTTTGTGAAGCTTTGAGCCCAGCTCCAGCTCCTTTTTTTTTTTTTTGCTTCGGTCCGTTACCTGCAAAATAGGCCATGCCACACTCCAGTATGTCATCATTTGGATAAGTGTCATAGGATCAGTATAACTTTTGTTTTCAAAGATAATTGCATTATGACTTTTCCAAATAGCATAGCCGACAACCTTACCAGAACTAATTTATGTTCTGTTTTCCTAAAAGTTTTGATCCAAATCCCAAAGCATTCCTCAGCTGAAGTGGGAGTGGTTCTTAGTCCAAAAGCACATTTTAATAAGCTCGATAACAATGTCGCCGCCGAACAAGTAAAGCACAGGTGATCTATCTGTTCCTCTCTACCACGAAGTACACATTCCTTAGATCCTCTCCACCCTCTTCTAATCAAAGAATCTTTAGTTAAAATGTTTTTCCTATTCATCAGCCAAAGAAACACTTTAATTTTTGCAGGAACCTTCACCTTCCACAAATTTTTGTGTGGATAGTGTTAGGATGATCTCCACTGCGTGGGCCCAACGGCCCAGCGGGCCCTTAGATCCGCGCCCTGATCGGGGGCGCTCAACCCACTATGGGTGACGGACCCCTGTCACCTGCACTATATAAAGAGGTGGGGGCCGGCGGCTCACATCATGAGATTCGTTGCAGCGCCGTACACCCCACCTACATCCCTACCGATCTAGGGTTAGTCCAGTGCTGATGGGAAGCACCGCCATCGCTACTCTCTGCCATCACCGGTAGCCATCCACCATGGCCACTTCGGTGGGTTCATCCACCTATGGAGAAGGTAAACCACAGCAAACCACCGATCTAATCTAGCCTAGTGATCCACAGCATCTATCAATGATATCAGCCATATTGGGTTAGATTTTTTCGGTTGAAAAGAAACAGAGAAATCAAAGCAAAAGAAATCTCCTCCCACCAGGAACCCTAGACAGGGCAAAGTACATCACCGGAGAAGGGCCTCGGGCCTCACCGGAAAAGTTGCGCCGCTGTTATGGCCGCGCCGTTCCTCTCGATCCGGACGCACATCGGCAAGCCGAGGCGTCGGACGAAGAACTACCGGAGCCAACTCAACGGTATGCCGGCAAAGAAAAGAAAAAAGACAAAAAAAGCGAGAAGGGGGGAGCACCGCGGCCCAACCGCTCGACGGCGGCGCGCTCACCCCAAGGGGAACGCACCACCGGCGAAGGGATCGGCAACGGCGCCGCCACTCCATGTCGCCGGGCGATGCAAGGGAGCAGAGGTGGCCTTGGCCTCGCATCTTTCTCTCTGTCTAAGAAAAAAATGGGGAAGGGGGAAAGTGGAGAATGGTTGCTCGCGCGCCGCCGTGGCGACACTGTCGCCGGCGGCCGACGAGGCCCTTGGCGTCCCTCTCTTTTTCTCTGTCGCAGGAGGCGGAGGAAGAAAGAGATGGAGAAAGGAAAGGAAAGGAAAGGGAAAGGAGAGAGAGAGAGGCTGACGCGGCATCTGCCGCCGTCGCCAGCGACCGGGGTGGTCGGCCGGGGCACAGCCCTTTTTGCGTCGCCGTCACGAGAGAGAGATCGAGAGGGGCGTGGGAAACAGAATGGGCTAGGGTTGCGGTCGGGGCTTTCTCTCTCCACAGTTTTGTTCAAGCGAAAATTGCTCTGGACCGTCCGATCTATATCGACGGCCAGAAAGAAACCCCTAGCTCCGCCCTGGGCTTTTGGGCCGAAAGCATTTTGGGGCTAGTGGACTACGGACCAGGCCAGAGTGGCTAGCGCCCGCGCCGGTCCTTTTCGGGCCAAAAGAGGAGACGAGCGGTGTCGCGCGCTGGGCTGTGGCTGGCTCGCACGGCGCGGCATTCCGTGGGCCGGTTTTTAGCCCCACTGTGCTGAAAGTTTTTCATTTTTTTTGTTATTTGTCTAGTTTTGGGCAAATTTCAGATAGTATTTTCTATTCAAATTTAATCCAAAGAAAGTTTGTTTAGTAAATAGCAAAGTAACCATGAAAAGCTTCTGAGAACGAAAATTTTCAGAAAAAGAAAAGTTCATGAATTTTATAAAGAAAAATTATAAAGTTCATGAATTTTTATTAGTCAAAGAAAAGTTTCTGTAAACAGTAAAAGGTTCATGAATTTTTTATTCATGTTTTTCCGCTGCATAAATAATTAATAGTACTCTTTTACAAAGAAAGAAAAAGTATTATCCTTCAATTAAATTGGAACCAACGGGAAAATTTAATTGGATGAACAGGTTTTTTGAGAGAAGTTTTTTCACTTATGGGTGAAATCAGATTCAGATAGCTTCTGCTATGACAGTACAAAGATATTTGATTAAAGTTTAATTATGGTATTGTTATTTTCTGACCAACGTTGATGATGACAATATTATAATTCAATGAGTCTTATAGTTAAAAGTTCAAATCTCTGATAAATTTTGTACCAAAGTGACCTTTTTTTTCCAGAGAATTTGATAAAGACTGAGAAATGTATATTGCTAGTTTCCCGCTGCAATAAAGTTGGTGATTATTATTATTTCTGAGCAAAGTTATTTAATAGAAATACTATCATCACATTGTTCATGAGTTATATGCATTATTTCTATTTCCGTCCAACGGTGATATGGAATTAATGTAGAAGAATGAGTTTTATTCTAATTCTACCACAACGGTGATTTAGAGTATAAAAAGGAAGTTTTAAAAAAGTTTAATGTGCATTTTTTTAACCAGACCAACGTAGGGTTATTATTATGCTCATTATTGTTGATTATTGGCTATGTTTTCTCAGACTAAAAGTTTTTCATGCTTTCATTCGTGAAAGCGAATGGCTGGGTACTTGTGACCCGAAAGATGACCACAAAAGGTCATAACATGAGGGAGTATGTTCTCTCTAAAGAATGGCTTCAAAAGAAAAGAATTCTTGGATATTAATCCAAGAGCAGAAAACAGATAGATCATTGAGAGTCTTGGTTGACGAATGTCTTTCATGTATTCTATATGAAGAAGATTTTTCAGTCAACATGATTTGAGATGAAACAAGCAACATGCGTGTTTAATTTGACCAACGTTGGATTAAGCATGTGTGTCAAAGAGCGTTCGGATTTATTTCTGAATTTGATGATTCCATATGCGGTCAAAAAAGCCAATTCTGGCATTCATGTTCCTTACAGGGAATTACCTGCATAGCGGGAAAGAGGATTATGATAAAACCCGCATGGCGGGGAAAGTTTGGGAAAATACATGCGTAACTGGGTAAAGTTGACATAGTATTATGTCAAAAATCCTATATGTCAGGAGAAATTCTGGCAAAGGACTTATCCTGTATGACAGGAGAAAGATATGATGACTCATGTGCTTAATGTGTCTCACTCTAGGAGAAAAGTATGGAGTAGCTATTATGCTTTCCTAGTATCGACCGTAC